CTGGCATTAGCAAAGACTTCAGCAGCTTAATAAGCCCCACCCTTTATTAGCTCAGTAAGGATGCCAGGCAAATCACATTCTCCCTACTCAGTAGGAACAGGAATTGCTGCTAGGGTGATTTGCTGCAGGAACGCTGGAAAAGCGCCACAGAGTAAATTCCTGCAAACCAGCATTTTCACTAAGGAAAGGAAAAAGAACTGAGACATGAAAATGATAGATTCCACAATTTCTAGGCATCTCATTTTTGCTGCATTACAGTTACATGCGAGATTTCATTTTCAAAAGTCTTCTTGTCCTATTAGCTAGACAGACTGATGTAAACATCAGTGTCTGTCATATTACCCACAAAAAGGTCTGCAAAAGTGCTACAAAATAACTGCTGCTACATCCTAGTCCAGGCATGTCCAAAGTCCGGCCTGTGGGCCAATTGCGGCCCGTGTTCCGGTTTAATACGGCCCCACAGGTAATTTGGCAATATCTATCTTTTATGGCCCCCAACGAATCCATATGTATTGAGATGAATACATTGTAAAATCTCAGTTAATGTCAGTTGGTCTAAATCAGTTAAATATATTTGGACACAACATGTATACTTGGTGTTATGTTCCTGTTCATATTTTTTTTAACTTAAAAGTTGACAGACAACCTTTATTACCAATAATATGTAATGTACTTTACAATGTTCCTGACATATTTCAGCTTCCTGGATTTTTCTTTCATCTGGCCTTCAGATATGAAAGGCAGAGTGATTTAACACCTGTTTAGATTTGTCATACATGTGAAGAAATGAAAAGTATGCCGTTTGCAATAAACTTTGCATAAAATAGTTAATTTGCATTTAATTTTAATGGTTCAAAGAATGTCAGGCAAAATGGTCGGCCCTCACGCATGTTCACTTCATCAAATCTGGCCCTCTTTGAAAAAAGTTTGGACACCCCTGTCCTATTCATTTAAATTAAGTATAAACCTTTAAGACAAAAGCCATATGTAAAAGACAAAAAAATTAAATACAAAAGTTGTTAATGTAATGTGTCTATTTAAGGTTAAGGAAGTAAAGAACCAGAACTGTTCAGCTTCTCGTATGAATCATTTGTCCATATCACATTTAAATACACATTCACATTCAATATTTACTCAATATCAGCGATGTTAATGTTACAATAAAAAACTTCACATACTGATATCTTGATTTGTGTACTAAAAACTTATAACCTTAGTATTTCATTAGTATATTGTACATATATTGTTATGCATTTAAGAACTCAAAGAATGAGTCCAATATGCATGCCCAGCAGCAGATTAATTGTGTGATGCTCAATTTTTGAATTTCCTGAACTTCGAGCATTTGCTATGTTTGTATTACAACCTTGCCTTAAAGGAACACTGTTAGAGATATTTAAAATCCATATGTCTCATCATGCTGAAAATATTTTTTAAAAGCTCACTTGTATCTCCCTCAGCTGGGACAATAAAGACAGGTAAGTCAATCTGTCAAAAATTATGATGAGCTAAAAAAACCCAGTATTTCAGTAACCTGTATTTTAAAAAGCCGGTTTCCGAAATGCTTGTATATTTCATGGAACATTTCTACTGAACTTGGAACTTAAGTTTTCTGAAGGCTTATTTTTAAGGAACATAAGCCTGGGATGAAGCATGATACTACAGTATCTTTAATATGGCATTAAGGAGCTATTTTTCTAACTTAGCTGAAAAGTAAACAGTGCCTCAAAATGAGAGTTAGCTGCAACTGAGAGCTATCTGGAAAAGGGAATTCAAGTTTATATAAAATGTGGTCATGCCATCCTGGACTGTAATTTCAGATATTAACTAATTCTGGTTACAACTTGGACAGAATAACTCCAACCAAATCCCAAGGTCCTATAGAAAGTGTTGCCAGTTCCACCAAGTCATCAATGAA